CTAGGGAGGATTTTAAATTGGGTTTCTTAGAAATTTTAATTACCACAACTTTAAAATATTGGTTTTAATTTGGTTTTATTCGGTGGGGTGTGTGGGTTTGTTTTTGTTTTTTAAGAATGTTGTGAGCCGCCCTGAGTCCTTCGGGAGAAGGGCGGGATACAAATTGAATAAAATGAAAAAATGAAAAATGAAAATATATAAAGTCATTTTTTCCTGTATCCATCTGTATCTTAAGGTAATTATTTCAATAATTAATTACTGTAGTTATTCAGAACTAGATTACTATAGGCATATGTTTGAAAACAACCAAATCTCAGACATAAGGCACATTTTTGCTCTGAAATTTTAGTTAGAAAGATTTTATGCTTTTGCCTGATATTTTAAAGAGTAGATATAAGAATGAACCAAGCCATAACATGGTTTGCTTGGTTTTGGTTTACTGTATGGTATGAAGCCAGTTACTGAGATCTGTAAACTATGGCTTAATACGAATAAGAAAAGATCTAGTTTAAGCAACAAACCACTTTATAGCTTTGCCACAATGTGTGAACTGAATGTTTATGTAATTTTGATTAATAAATTGATACCACTTAAATCTACTGGTTTTCATAAGGTGTTATGCTATTATAAGTAACCACATAGTACATAATTTTTATCTGAGCCTTGATCTCAGTCATCTTCCAAGAATCTGGAAAAGGAAGGAAGCAGTAGTTTTTGCCCATATCGACACCCTTCCCCTCCAAATACAAATGATACATACCCTGGGATTAAAGGCTAGCATCTGAGAGTCATTAGGATCTACTACTGAAGGATATGGCTCAAAAATGACAACTTTTCTTGGGGATTCTAATGCAGAACGGCACATAGATACTAGTAAGTCTACAACCTAGAAAAAAAGAAAAGGCAAAAGAAAGTTCAAAAAGAAGACTTTCCCGTCCTCCCAAATAAATTCATAAATGATCCCCAACAGATCTGGACCAGAACCTTGTTAAGATTTAACAGGATTTCAAATACAATTGTACCAAAAGGACTGAGAGAATTTATATCAGAAAGAAGCTCCAGGTCTGTTCTCCATTGTGCTGCAATGTCCCCACTTTGACAGTAATAGGAGTGTCGAGTGATATACAGGGGCAACAGGACAGTGTTTGATTTTGTAAAATTTTGCTTTGGCTCCTTTATTTGACCAACTTCTTTTCTGGGAGCACCACATTTACTTCTTCAAATTATTAAAGATATGGTTCAGAACATTCATTCAAGGATTCAGATTATTCATTCCTTAAATGTACAAGGTGTGTACTAACAGGGTTTCCTTCCTTCCATGTACACATATGACAAGTTTTGGTGGAGTCCACATGTATACGGTTAAAAGTATGGGAGCCTGTTTATGAAATTGTGACTCAGCGAATGGCATTGGATACAAAGTCTCCGTGAATGTCAAAAGGCCACCTGATCTGAGGCAGGATTTTGATCCAATAATGAACTGACTGAGTTCCCCAGAAATATTCCAGTCCAACTCAATACCCAGAACTGAAATGATAATGAGAAAAATGTTCAGTTCTCCCATAGTCAAGCTTAGGAAATATGTAGATGACTAAAATATTTTTCTCCAATCAAAATGGAGGGAAACTTCATAAAATCCATAATGTGTGAAAAATTAATTAGGATAAAATAGGTATAAGTGAAAGAGATGTGCTTTTTTATAATGCGGATTTTTTTTTTAAAAACCCTCATAAAGTCATTATTCCAGACCTTAACAAAATTTTCTTTTTCTTTTATCTTAACAGATGCTAATACATTTGCAATCTCAGACAATATGAGGTTGCCTTTGCAGATTTATCTGCAAATTTCAGCTAGTCTGGAATGAAATGCATGTGTGTTCAGAGGTCAGTTATAGTACTACTAGGTTAAACGTCTGCTGCATGAGTTGCACAATTTAGCAGTAAATTTCCAAGTGCAATTCAAGATGCTACTTGCTAGTTACTAAATCCCTTGTGGCTGGAGCCCTGAAATCTAGTGGCCACCTTTCCCAATGTATTTTGCCCATCCTATTCAGATAACCAGGGAGCACTTGCTTAGCATTCTGTCATACAAGGAGGTAGGAGAGGGGCTAATATTGGATATTCTCTATAGCAGTTCCCATCTACTACAGTAGTCACATGTGTGAAAAAATAATTGCATTTTTTAAATATGGGTTATTTGTTTTTTGAATCAGTGAAGGATTAATATGCCAAATCAAAACAGCTTGTACCAGTTTTTTTTCTGATTGTAATATCACTGTGAATTTGGTATTTATTTTCCATTGGTATTCCCACTGTTGCATATCAATTGACCTGTTTACATTCTGCATCAATTTAATCATGCAGTCTTTGATTTGATCAGTTTCTGAATCATATTTCAAAACAACTTAAAATAAGTCACAGCAGATGCTTAGAATTTTGTGTTATATGTTTTTCAAATTTAGTCAAGTTCCTGAGCATTCCACCTTGTTTCTGTGATTTTTTTTAAAATACACTATTTATTTGAAGATACTGAAACCAATGAGCCATTTCTGAATGTCCTACAGAAACTGTCTTTAAATATTTCATCTTAGTTTCAATCTTGCTCTCTATACAAATTATCACTTCACTGATCAAATTCTGTAGCATTTAAGCAAGGGGCCATAAATTGGATTTATAATCTTTTACTTTTCTCACATACTTTTGGTATATTATATATGATGAAGTCATCTCTTATATATTAAACACTTTTGTTTATATCCCACCAAAATTATTTTGTGTCCTGCAAGTCCTGCTCCTTCAACAATGGTATACTAGCCCTTTAGCAATCCAATCCAATCCAATATGTATTCCAAATTAAACTGGCTTAATAATATAATTTGAAATGTGTGATACAGCTAGTTCACCTTGTATTTTCACATCTTGCAAAACCTTAAATTTAATCCTTAGTCTTCAGTTTCATCAAATAAAGTTAGTTGTCCTTGCCATTCATTTAACATCTTTTTTTCAATTTTTACTTAAATCATCTGGAACTTGATCTTTGAAAAAATATTCATTTTACCGATTATATTCTTTCTAGTTTTAACTTCTGTCTTAAAATATCTGCCAATATATTTTTCCAAGTCTGTTAAAAAAATTTCTTGAATTAGTTGTCATTATATTTTGTTAAATAATTTCCAAGGTATTTAATTGTTTAACAAAGATAGTGAATCTTGTTATTTTCTGCAAATGTTGCTTTTCTTCTTCAGGTAAATTTCATGTTACAATTTATGCCTTGTTTTTATTGATGTCCCAATATCAGTCCATATTTCTGTATATACTCCATTATTGATTCTAAAGAATCTTTGGATGGGTAACTGTTACAAACAATACCATCAGCATATAATTTATGTTTTATTTTTGATTTGCCAATTTTATTCTCATCTCTTTTTTTGTAATATTTCTAAAACCAACAGAAATAAATAAAGGAGAGAGAAGATAAGTCTGTCTTGTTCCCTTTCATTATAATACATGTTGCTGTACATATTAATGGAATTTATTTAGTGGATAAACTACAGCCATAAGAAATTAATTTGCTATACCAGGTCAGCTGCCAACACATCTTGCAAAACCCAATCATACAATTGTTCAGGATAAGAGACTGAGCAATGAGATGACACAAATGACCAAACGATCCATCTCTTCCCTCTTACTCAGATGTCATCATTCCTTACCCAGGCCATTCTGACTGGGCTGATAAATAATAATACTGATTGGAGACAAGGCCTGTCCATCATTGAACGAACTATCTATCCTCACAACCTGGTATTTTATGTAAAGACTGTTTTAATTCTCTCTCTGGCTGCTGTGCTTTCAGAGAAACAGATAAGCCCTTCAGCTTTGTACAGGCTAAGAGAAGAAAAGCTCACATCATCATGTAGGTTTAGATTTTATCTGATATGCACCATTATACATTCAACAAATATTTTCATGTGAAAATGGTAGAGGATACTGGCCTTCCCAGATGCATGCTTACTGATGGAATGATTCCCAGAAAGCAGTAATGCTAGCTGTTTCTATGATGCAGGTACTAACAAAATTAACTAATCAACCATCTTCAGTTGGGTGGTTTCCAGATAGCCTGGGCAAGAATGGATAATCTGTGACTCGCGGTCTTTATCTTCTCCCCTGCTTTCTACATGTGTCCCCCAAAGTGTTTTAAACAAGTGATTGTCCGCCTTTTGTTCTTAGCAGGATTTGGTGGGAAAGAGTGTTAAAGGGTAAAATGGGGTTTTTAGTCCCACAGAAACACAGAAAACTCTAAAATAAATCAGGCAATTTCAACCTTTGGGTTTAGAAATAAAAAGAATGCAGTTTTCCTAATATTATTTTCTTTCAACTTTGCTTTTTGTCATATATTGCTTAGTGAGGAAATCTGAAGCTCATAAAAATGTGCATATATCTGTAATCTTGAGAGGGTGTAGTAATAGTTTTGGTCCACAATTAATTTTGCAATATGCTTTTTTTGTTTATTTGTTTGTTTATCACATTTATTTGCTACCCATCTTGCACTTCAGGTGACTTTGCTTTTTCCTACACAACAATGTGTGCATCATAAAATGTAATAAGTGATTCTTCTCCCCCCCAGGAACACAGTAAAATTTCCTGCATGAGAAGCTGGAAAGAGTTAAAACACTTAAAGTATTGTTGCTTGGCATTCCCGAAATGTTTTGATTTCAACTCCCAGAACTTCCAGCAATGAACATGTAGATTAGAGAATAATAGGAGCTGAAGGCCCTACAGCTGAAAGGTGCCCTGTTGGAAAAGGCAAATATAAAAAATGTCAAAAAAGCAATCTTCAATGGATAATTATGAGAACTTATATGTACTAATGTCATCTTTTCATCAGGAAAGACCTATGTCAAAGCCTTCCCTTATAAAAAATGTCAAAAAAGCAATCTTCAGTGGATAACTATGAGAACTTATACGTACTAAATGTCATCTTTTCATCAGGAAAGACATAGGTCGTTCCTGATGAAAAAATGACATTAGTACATATAAGTTTTCATAGTTATCCACTGAAGATTGCTTTTTTGACATTTTTTATAAGGGGAGGCTTTGATATTTTTATAAGGGCAGGCTTGTTCTTATGCCTTCCCTTTTTATCAAAAAATGATAATAGTAATTAAGATTTGAAAGCTAAATAGAGTTTATAATAAGTTATGACTTTTCTCCCAAGCATTCAGATGGGTTTTCAAAAGACAATGGCAAACCATTGCTGGATCACCAATGGATGAAGAGGATGAAACCACATTGCCTGGGATGCGGACAAAAGTTCTAAGCAAGGTTGCAGTGTTAGTCTTTACTTGAGAACTTCAACTCCAGTGTTGAAGCAACAAACCACATGCCCAATATTGTGATACAACACTTTTCCTATAGAGTGGGTGAACTAGATTGGGGGCTTAGGAGTTGGTTTGAGCTTTTCTAATTTCTTTTAGTGCAAGTTAACTGAGCAGTTCTAAATATATTGTGTCTTCAAAATGGGGGCGAGAATGTAACAAGGATACTAATCATTTCTAGTTCTGAACAAACCACTTCTAGAAAAAGAAACACATGGATTTTCCACATGATGATTGGACATAAGGAGCCTGACAGAACTGGATTAGTCCTGTGAAGAACAGTGCGGTAGAAATCCATGTCTTTGTTTCTGTTCTCCAAACTCCTGATCTTCAACAGTATTAGCTGCTCTCCTGGTTTCTAATCCCTTATTAGTAGCCTGCCTTTGTTTTGCTTGATTGACAATTTTCTGGTGTTTTGTTATTCGTTTGATTTGATTTCATGAAACAAACTAGTGCCTGACCTTCAGCTTCACAGTCTGTCAACTGCCTATGAGGAGAACAACTAATGCATCATTTGATAATGGGTTGGAAAAACAACAACATTCCACTGAAAAAGCATCTGATTTACTTTGCAAATGTTCAGACTATCGCCATGTTTCTGATATTCACACTGTCTTTTAAAAGAACAATGTAAAAATATTCCCATTAATATTATTAATGATCCCTCTTGTTGGAGTCTATGATAAAATGCTGATCAATCAACTCTGAATATTTCAGAGTGCAACTGAAAGTTATTTATTTCTGAAATAATTAAGAAAACCAGCAACAATCTACGAACAAAGATTATATTTAAAAATTATTTGACTTCATCATGATAGTTACTGTAGCACAGAAATACTTAAAAGGACCATTCAACAACTATTCAAACACTTGAAGGAGTAAACATATTTTTACTTAATGGAGTGCTATGAAATGAATTATTTAATCCACAGCCCTTCCATCTTTCCGATAACGCTTATTTGATTTAAAATGATTCATTCAGGGAGAATATTAAAAAAAGGGATTTGATTAATGCAACCCTCTGATTCCTCCTGCAGCCCCAGATGGGCTCTGACTCATACCAAGGTTAGTTCTGAAATCTTTATATTCAGTCCTCTGGAGGGAAATAAAAAAGAGGATTCTTTCAAAAAGTGCAGTGAGAAAGAAACATCAGAGAGCAAAATATATTTAGGCTGTCTTCCCTTCTCTCCTTTTCTCACACTTGGCATGAATGGCCAAATGCCAGTGAAGAAGTGTGGTTCAGCAAATTTGAATATTGCATTAATTGCTCCTCCCACCCACAACGTAAGGATACACAAGTATCTGCCTAGCCATAATATCATTGCTAGAAGGTAGCGGAGTGGAACTGCAGCCCTTGCCAGGGTCTAATTCCCATTGGTGGGAATTATGGTAAAGCAGCCCCAGAAAGAAACTGACTACTCATTCCTGCTATCAGCATAGGTTAAGGTTGTCATAAAGTTTACTTATCTGAAGGCTACCTATCTACATACTTTTGATTCCTTGACACAATTGATTTTGGAGAATAAAGATATGGCAGAACTAGCACAGGGAGGAATGAAGAAGTTTCTGTGTGGTGTTGTAAAGGGAAGCTTGGATGGAATAGTTTTGGAATATAGTTCTGACATACTAAAAGTGTGCAGTACTTTGATCTCCAGAAAATGCTTTGCCGAGCAGCAGGAATATGAATGGAAAACCTGGTTGCAACACCTTATAGTAGCTGGGTCATTTCCCAGGATCATTCAGCAGTTCAGGAAAAGCACAGCTACTTTAAGGCAGTGCAGGTAAATGCTATGTGCATTACTATATGCCCTTTGAAGCATCTTTTGGAGACTGAATTGCTGCACAGTCCTAATGTATTTGTATGTTGGATGTTGTATTACAACCAGTCAAAGTTATATCAGACAAAGTCCCCTGCAAAAGGTACTTACAACCCAGTTCCAAAGTCCTGATAGCCAGGCCCTCCCCATAATGCACTCAACAACTGCTCCACATTTATAGCCATTGGCAGCATCACATGACCGTGATTTATGCCATTTTTGCAGAAAACTGGCATTTGCTTCTGTTTTTCAGCAAAATGCCCCATTGTAGACAATGGGTTCGCTTAACAACTAAGATGATTGCTCAGCAACGTTCACAAAATAGGATTGTAAAATAAGGTCCAGTTACTTGATGACCTGCTTTATGATCATCACAACTTACAACCTGTAATCATGAATCTAATACAGATTATCTAATATTGAGAAAATATAGTTCCATAATAAAAACATGAAAAGTTGCTTTTCTCTAATTTTCAACCGCTATATTATAAAATCCGCTATCTTATAAAACTAAAGTACAATGAATATTTTGTACTAATCAAGAGACAATAAAATGAAGCAAAATGATATACAAAAATAAACGTTAACTGAATTTGCTACATAAAAGCAATTCATTATTCTACAAATAAACTATCTGAATTTTACCTGAGCCCCTGTTGCAATTTCATCTGCAGCTTCATTCATCACGCCTAGAGTTTGGAAAGCAAATACACACAGTTCCCGTTCACAGACCGTTGGCTAAAAGCAAAGGAAAGAAAATGGTTATTCTTCTATTTAACAATTTTCATCAACCTAACATTCTACACCTGCTGAGAGTACAGTTCCTAGAACATCTACTGTATGTGACTTGTCCAAAGTCTAGTTGGGACTCTGGGAGATATAATTCCACCCAAGGGACTGATATCTTGTACATGTGTAGAACTGCCTTGTGTGTGTGTGTGTGTGTGTGTGCGCGCGCGCGCGCGCGTGTACTAATTTCATGTGAAAAAAGTATTCAGAGTTTTGTTTTGTTTTTTTGCCTATGAATTCTTTCAGTTTCATTCAAGAAAATTAGCTTTCATCATATATTTCAAAGGGGGATAAAAGTTTGATGTTATTCTTGTATTTTTGCAGATTAGATAGCTAAGAGCTGTTTCTGAATGTCCCATCACTTATTGGATAATCGTCTTTGCAGTGGTCTGCAAGTTCCCTGGTTTTCTCTATTTCAATCCAATCCCAAGAGAAGAAATCATGAGGGGATTCCCCCAATGAGGCTTTTAGAAATGGGAAATATGGTCAAGGTAGCCCCAAAATGTTGGGGAAATGTGTAATTCTTCCCCCTGCAACTACTAGGAATACTATCCCTACCCCTACATCAGCAACAAAGTAAACTCAAAAAGACTTCCAAGAAAAGTTTTGAGAATAAGATATATAAAATTCAAAGCCTATTTTGCAAATAGGCTTGCAAAAATGTTTGCAAAATTGTAAGGCAGATCTCAGTAGAGTATTAGTAAACTAAATCTCTGTCTCTCTTTGTGCTTCTCCCTCTTTATTTCATTCATGTGAGTAAGGGATAAAGCCTTGCATCAGATGACCTCGCCCATACCTTGCTTTCTTGGGCTCTCATTGACGTTTTCTAAAACTTAGAGGATGGAAGTCTGAGTAAGCAGTTTATTATTTCAGTTGGTGCTTCTGATAACATTTAAATTAATGTATAGGAACCCTAAATATATAGTGCAGGCTCTCTGTTTTAGATATTTGCCATCCTAACCACTGGGTCAAGGTTGTAGGAGCAAAGTTAGAGAATACAGTTTCCTTCTCCCCATAATTATGGGAAAGATTAAACATACAATTCTATCTTCTCTGACCCATTAGTAAAGACTAATGACAAAAGAAATGGAAGTGTAATCTTATAAATAAATGAAGTTGCTACTTCTCAGATTATTTGCTTCCAAGCTCATGCTGAAGTGAAGACCACTGTGAATATATAAGACTCCAACAGGCACAAATACCTTTTTGAGCAATATATTCTTGGCATCAGGAACACTGGGAACTGCAGAACCTGGTCAGGGTTCCTATTGTCAGTAAAGACCACCTCCAGCTGAAGTTTAGAATAAATGTAGACTACATCTACAACTTTCATTGTTGTTGCTGCATAAAACTAGTCAAAATGACATGATCACAGCAAGAAAGACTGCTAGTATCCAATAAAATAAAGTCTAAGCAGGACACAATTCTACAGTTTGCATATGAAAGTACTGTCAGTAACAGATAGTCCTCCCATTTTGAGTGATACTGGAAGAGCTTTGCCCATCATCTCTACCAATATTTTTCAAATCAAAATGAATTTCAGGTAAGCTTGTGTGATTTTCAAAAAGATGCCATTTTAAGAATCTTATACACACACACATACACACACACAAGTAAGTATTTCGTTCTTTCACTTTGCTTTATCTGCAAAGTAAAACAGGCACATAGATAATCCTGCTGAGCTCAGGATGGGTTACTGCTACTGATCTCATTTTTCTGCCATTTTTTTTTAAAAAAAGGACTATATTATATCTTACAGTGAACTACTGAATAGTCTATCGTCATGATGTTTTCTGTTTTTCACGTTACAAAGATAACCAGTGAAATTAATCTTACTTTGCTCTTTGAGTCATTTTTTTAAAAGAAATGAAGCTAAACAATAGATTGTGTTTAGCACCATCGGAAATACAAAAAGAATTTGCATTTTTTTCTTTAGAAAAAATGCTTCACTGGGCATGTACTTGCATCAATAACTCTTTCATCAATTTTGTTTAAAACATTATCCTTCTCCTCTTCTATTTGCAGTCCCAGTGATTATATGATGACTACAAGTCTTGAAATATTTTTGCAGTGATAGTTTTAGAAGATCCATTATCTTTCAAGTCCAATACAGCATTGCTCATTTGATATATCTCATCTGCTATGTTACATTGAATTAGGCAGCAGATGAAGCCTAACACTATCTAATTCACTGTACCATGGCACTCTAGACCAAATGAAATAATCTATATTAACCTCACTGGCTCTCTTTTGGGAAAAAATTAGGAAAGTTTGACTGATGCACTTCAGTGGCTCAGTCTTTTTTTATCTCATGACGTTTATTGTTTTATCAATGTATAAAATACAAAAAACTAAAATAAAAACAGGAAATTAAGAGAAGGAAAAAAAGACAGGGGGAAAGAACTATGAGGTGTAAGGGAAGAAAGAAAAAAGCTTTGGCTCCCAACTCTTTTTAGCACAGTACAAAATAACAAGATTACAGCCTCATTTTTTTATTTTTACACATTAGTACAGGGGTCCCCAACCTGTGGGCCGTAAGAGGTTTGCAACTGGGCCGTGGAAATGGAGTTGCAAATGGAGTTGTGTGCGCTTGCCGGCCACTTGTGTGAACCATCCCCCTTTCCCCTGCTGGTCCGCAAAGCTGGAAATGTTGGGGAACTCTGCATTAATATATAACTAGCTATTTCTATAACAACCAATCTATCTAATCAGCAAAATCAGAGTAAAAGTTTCGTTTTTTTCGTCACAAGCACAAAATCCAGAAGTGATATCTAAATAAAAAATATAATTAAATATATTCTCTTCTTTGAATAAAACAATCTATTTAACCACTTCTGCTTTACCTTCCCTGGTGTGGAAATAATATGTATTTCTATTTGTATTTAATAATCTTTATAAACTATCACCATTTATATTTATATTTATATTAAGGTTATATTCTTTAACCTTAAAGGGAAAAATACTTTTTTCCCATCCATTTTAAAACACTAACTTTTTTTAAAAATTTTTTAACATGAAACATTCTAATACGTCTTTTTTTAACGTCTTAATATACTTTAAAGTTCACTTTCCGACCAATAAAATTCCAACTCCAATTAACTCATTGAATTTAGAACATTCCTTCCAAGTTACCCTCACAGAATAATTTTTTTCTTGTTGTATACATCCTTTTTAAAACTCTAAACTTTTCTTTAAGCTAATACATGTTTTTCTTTAACTTTCTCTTAACATAGATACTTTCAAATATACTTTCAATAATATTTTACAAACTTTAGGAATTACTTAAGCATTATATATAAAAGAAACAATACATTTTAAAACTTTAAATTAAGACTTTCAATTACAAATATCTGACTGATAAAAATTTATCCTAATTCCAATTGACTCATTAAGTTTAAGCCACTCCTTTCAGCTTGTCTTCTGTCTTCTCCTTCTCTTCAGGATTTCACTTCAAGAGTAGGAAGCATATATATTTTCTACATATTTTTTGTAAAATATATGAACTTGAACACTAAGGAAGACAGGCAGGTAGGCAGCTATGGCTGACAGTCTCTTTTTATTGGTTGACTGCCATATGGCAACCCAAGATCCTATCAGAGACTACCGAAACAACCATGTTTGTTTATTTATTAAATTTATTTGCCACCTATATTGCCAAAGGCTCATGTGACAGGAAAGGCAGGAAGCAGGTTTCTTTTCCACTACTCTGTACTTTGCTCAGTACAAAATTGTACCTGCCTTAAAGTCCTTATTATTTTTGGTGACCAGGAAAATAGTTAAAATACAGGGCTAAAATTTCACACGCTGAAGCAGGGTAGGTTTATTTTTAGTGATGGCTGATATAATTGCTCTCAAAGGTGAGCAAACTGGAACCTGCACTGTGGAAACAAACTCTAGCTGGGGGCTGTAAATAGATTGCTATAATACCATCAAGAATTACATTTTTGCCTTCCCCCCTTTGGAGAGGCGATTTAGGGAGGGTGTTTAAGGATAAAAATGGTTGACTTAACAACTCCAAAAATTCAGTATGGAAAAGGAAAGCAATAGCAATTATAATATTCAGCCCCCTTCATTTGTGGGACTGTAAATAGGTCACTGGTGGGAGAAGCATATTGGTTTGATGGTCTGCATCTCTCAGTTACTGCATTTTTAACTCATTTGTTGTAAAGATGTAAAAAATGTGAAACATCTCAATTCTCCTTGGTGACATTTAAGGATAAAATATGAATGTTTGAAGAGAATTTTGACATATGTTCAGCTGAATTTGCTTAGAAATCTTTCTGCAATTGGGAATCCTAATAATCAAAGTTCCTGATTGTAAGGACTTTTCTAAGTACATTCAGGTGAACAAACTTGAAATCTTATTTCAGGCATTTATGCCAGTGAATGAGCAAAGGTTGAAGAGAAAGTGGCAGAGATACAGACACATATATATGAGTATTTGCATGGTAAACATTACATACATTACACTACAAGATATATCCATAACTAAATAATGCAATAGTTTGTATAAAAAGTAATTCATTTTGCTTGCTCTACTACCAAACTAGAATGTCTCTTCAGAGTTATTTTTCCTTTTCAGTTTTTCTTAGTTGGATAGAAATGTTTATGAAAGGATTCTGTTAATGAAACAATATTTTAGCTACTTTTATTTTGTCTTTTCCTGGGGCAGGCTGTCAGAAAGGAATTTGACTTACTTGGTGGACCCTTTACAGATCAACCATACCCAAAGACAATGTAAGTTACAATTTAACATGTCTTATTTAGGAGATAATAATTTATCTCTCAGTCTGAAAACTGCACCACTAAAGCACTGTGCTTTGGATTTATATATGTATATTTTTTAAGGCAGGCAAGAAATATAATATTTATGATAGTCTAGAATTTTGAAAGCTCCTCCTTCTAGGAGATTCAGACAAAGTTAAACAGATCCCAGAAAGATGCTGTGC